GCGAGACGCTGCTGAAGGTGTCCAGCAGCCGCCCAAAAAACTGCATCTTCCCGGAGCCTTAGGCGGCTTCTCCCGAGGGAAAGGCGGCCACTGGCTCCGCCGGCCCTGCCCTTGCACGCACGGCGTGGCCCGGAGCGCGGCCGGGTGACAGCGGGGCCGGGAACGGGATCGGGCTGGATCCGGGGATGGCGCCGGGCAAAGCACGACGGGCCCCCAGCGCCCCCCGCGCGCCGCCCCCCGCGCGCCGCCTGCCGCCCGCCAATCGACGGCACCGCCCCCCGGGACGGGCCAATCAGCGGCGTCGCTTCCGGGGCAGGGCCATAGGGGCGGGATTAAAGCCGCGCCCGCCGCCTGCCGGGGGAGGAGGGCGGAAGGCGCCATCTTTGTGAGGGGCGGGGCGACAGGGGTGGGGCCGCCCTTCTTAAAGCGGTAGCGGCCCATTTCTGTGGGGCGTTCTGCTCCCGGCACGGCCGGTCATCGGTCCTGCGCCACCGCTGAACTCAAGTTCAAGCCAGTGCTTTTGGAGCGCGGCCGTGTTGACAGCGCGGCGTGCGGTGCGTGCTGGCACCGCGCGGTGTACGCTGGCACGGCGGGGCGCTTTAAGGGTAGCGGCCGCCCCGCGCGGCAGCGGCGGGGAGGGGGCGTGGTGAGGGTGACGTCACCGCATGACTGTGTTTTTATGAATGAAAAGAATCCGCGGGTGAGTAATCGCGGAGAGCGAGGTTGGCGGCGCCGCCCGACGCCCCAGCCCGGCAGCGGCCCCGCGGGAGCAGCGCAGCCGCCAGGTGAGCGCCGGCCGGAGCGGCCCCTCCGCTCCCGCCTTGCCTTTTCCCCTCGAGGGGCGGCCGGGAGAAGGGGGCGGCGGGGTCCGGCACCGGCTGGAGGCCTCTCTGCCGCCGCCGAAGGCGGGGATCGGGACTGGGACTAGGGCTGGAGGGAACGGGACGGGGGGGCCGGCCGGTCCGCCGCGCTCGGGGCCGTCGGTTCTTCCTTTCCAATTCCCGGCCACCGCCCTGGAGGGATCCGCCGCCGCTCCTTCGGCTCCGGCGGCGGATCCCCGGCCCGGATTGCATCAGCTTCCAGCCGGCCCGGCTCCACCTTTCCCGCCGCCCCCCTCCAGCCCCTCATTCCTCTCGGGGCGCTCTCGGCCCCGTCCCGGCCCCCCTCGTCCCTCCGAGGGCTCTCCTACCGAGACCGGGGTTCCCCGAGGCGGGGAGAGGCTGTTTGGCTGCGGTCCGGAATCCCGGACCCCTCCTCACTCTCCGAACCCGGGGCGGGGAGGGCCCGGCCATCGGCGAGGGGCAGGCACCGCTTCCGTGACTTTCACCCCTGGGCTGCTGAATCACGGGGCGGCCACTTCACCCGCCTGCGCTTCGTGACCGCGACCCTTCGGCCGCCCCCGGAGCTGGGGACACCCGACCCTCGCGCCGGGACCCGCGGGGCTCTCGCCGGGCAGTGGGGCGGCACCTCTCCGCGGGTCCCGGCTGGGTGACTTCGCCACGGTGTCACTCGGTGGGGCTGCTGCTTTTACTTTCCTTTCAGCCTCGGGCGGATCTCGCCCGTGTTCCCTCCCCGCGGGGAAGGCTTGGCTTCCCAGCAGGCGGCTGGGGCATTTTGGGTCCCCTGGGCAGAGCAGCATCCCAACCCTCTCGCGATGGGATGAAGGAGGGTGGGAGGTCCATCCTTGCCCCATTATTATTATTATTGCTTGCAGTCATCATTGCTATAAATATTATTACAATGTACTTTTTAAAAGGAGTGGGGTGAGTCATGCGGCCCGGGGTGGGGGAGATGTGGGCAGCGGGCAGGGGACCAGCAGGGCCGGTGTCCTCTCTTCTGAGGTGAGGAACACGGGGCTGGCAGTAACCGGCTTTTCTCCTGGCTGCTCAGCAGGGCCGGAGTGAGGAAAGGATGGCTGCAGACGGGCTCTCCAGCAAGGCTTTGAAGGTGAGCACCAGTGGGAACAGGGGCATGGGAGCCAGGGGGCTGGTTTTGGGGGTCTCAGGCAACCCAACCACCCCTCTCTCCGGCAGGTGAAGCGGGAGCTGGGGGAGAACACTCCGCTGCTGTCGGATGAGGAGCTGATGGGGCTCTCAGTGCGGGAACTCAACCACCACCTGCGGGGCCTCTCCAAGGAGGAGGTGGCGAGGCTGAAGCAGCGTCGTCGGACGCTGAAGAACCGGGGTTATGCTGCCAGCTGCCGAGTGAAGCGCGTCTGCCAGAAGGAAGAGCTGCAGAAGCAGAAGATGGAGCTGGAGTGGGAGGTGGACAAGCTGGCCCGGGAGAACGCTGCCATGCGCCTGGAGCTTGACACCCTGCGTGGCAAGTACGAGGCCCTGCAGGGCTTTGCCCGCACTGTGGCCACTCACGGGCCTCCCGCCAAGGTGGCTACGGCCAGTGTCATCACCATTGTCAAGTCCAGCACCAACCAGGCCACCTACTCCTAGTGCTGGCCTCCATCCCCCGGCTGGACACAGTCCTCCCTGGGGTGCCTAACCCATGAATTGCCTCCCAGCCCTTCCCCAACCTGTGCCCAAAATCCTCTTTCTCCCATCCCTTGACCTCCAGCTCCCCCAGGTAGGGAGGGCTGCTGCTATGTGGGTGCTTGGATGGAGGACAGGACCTCACTGGTGGCCTCCATAGCCCCCTCCCCTCTTGGGTGTGCAGACAGGAGAGAGCGAACCCACACAGTGGGGAAGCATCCCACAGCTCCAAGCTGGTAGGAAAATGCCAGGTGCCTCATCTTTGTGAGGGCATGGGAGAGCTAAATGTCGGCCAGCCAGTCCCAGGAACATGTGCCAGAGAGGGAAAAGAGGAGAGAGAGGTCTTGCAGTGTAGGGGAAGAAGGCATGATGGAAGGCTATTGGCATTGGGCAGACAACCTGGGCCACAGCTGGAGCACCGGGGGAGGTGGCAGCATGTCTGAAATCTCTGGGGATGCAGATGGCAAGGGAAGGTTAGCAGGTCAGAGGAGGAGATAAAGTGGCTGTGTGTTAATGTCTGGTAAGGGTGAATGGAATGGGAAAGCACTGTGGCAGCTTGTGGTGCTGGAGGACCCCAGAGGTGATAGTGAGTGGGCAGGGGCGAGCTGGGAGATGTGAGTGGGTCAGCCCAGGCTGTTGTCCACAAAGGGGAGAAGCAGTAGTGCTGTTTTATCTTTCTCTATCATGCACATCCTTCACGCCTCTTCCTGCTGACGGGACACTCAGCCTGGCCGGGTGTCTGAAATATAGCAGCACTGGCAGGAAGGAAGCAGAGGCAGCTGGAGCAGAGATAAACACTGTTTTGCTCAGCACAGGCCAGCTTGTATGGCTCCACCAAACCCTCCCGGGTGCCCCACTGCCTACAAGGCCCATGGAAAGGTGCTCCCGGCCCTCAGAGTCAGATGTGGAGGCAGAGAGAGGGGTAGAGGTGCAGGAGGTGGGAAGTAGGGGCGGAGAGCATCCCTACTCCTTGGAGCTGCCTGGCGGGCAGGTAGGCTCCTCCCTTTGGTTTTCCTCCAGCTTGGACACCGGTGTGGGACAACTGGCTCTTAAGCAGGCTGAAAGGCTGGAGAAGAGCTGGGTTCTCTAAATGCAGGCAGCACAGGGGAGGGAGCAGGAGGCAGGTCCATCTTGGGATCTGCTGCCTACTGTAGATGATTCCCCCGCCCCTCCGTTCTGCCCCTGCCTGGGTATTGCCACGCCAGCCGCCCTCGGCTGCAGCCTCCGTTCTTCCCTGTAGAGAGGTGCCTGCCACTCCCGGATGGGGCACTGTGGTTGGCATCCCCCACCCCGACTCCTCTTGGGTTTATTTATTGCACGAACATAAGTTATTTTCACGTCCTCTTTGCCATTCCGCCTCTCGGCACAGCCAGGATGTTGGTACAGAGCCGTACTTTATATTTTATATATGCAAATCACATTTTATCTTATACTTATATAGAGCAAAAAAAAAAAAACTTATTTATTTTCTGACTTACAGTATGTGTCTTACCCGACTCCTCTGTATTTTGTAGACTTTACAAATAAAGCAAGTTCTTTTTTTTTTTTCCACAGTGGTAGTGTGTTTGGTCCTTCTTGAACTTGGGGCAGAGCTATGTCTGAGACTAGGTTTTCTGTTTCCCTCTGGCTTTGCTGCAGGACATGCTCAAGAATGTGCCCAAAAAAGATGGGATGGGGGATAGCTCATGGCTTTTTAGGACAAAACCAGATTTATAGTCTCTGAGAGAAAAGGGCTAAAAAAAGCATGCTTAATACACCCCCCAAAGCACTTGCTTTCAGGAGCTGTGCAGCTGTGCTGAATCAGTTTTTCCTGGGAAAGATAATGCTTTTTACTACAAAAATTCCCTCCAGGCTGTCCTTGGACCAGGTGCAGGAGAGGCGGGTGCAGGGCATCTGTACCCAAAAACTTCTGTTGAGTGACCTTATCACCTTACCTGTGAACAGCAAGGAAAAAAGCAGTGAGCTGCCCACAGATGGCAGAAGGGGAAGAAGCGTGGAAGGCACCTTATCAGGAGATGAAGCCAGACCTCCTCCCTGTGTGGAAAAGCCATCCTTCCTCAAAACTGAGCTGGAAGTGGTGAGCATGTTCCAAATTCCCAGCTGGGCCAGGTCCCCAGCAGGCTGCAGCGCTCGGGATGGTGTGGGGGGGTTTGACATTCCCATTCCCTCTACCACTGCAAATGGTCCAAGCCCCAAACACTGCTCATGGAAGAAAATCCCAAAGCCATTGTTTGCTGGGCCCCCCTCCCTCCCATCAATGCTTCATAGTGAGCACCTAAGGAAGGATTCATCTCTACTCCAGGTTTTTGACTCATGGGTTTCACTCCTGCCTTGGGCCAGCAGTAGTGTCTTAGCCCAGGGTGCTGCAGCGATGCTTCTCCATCAGCTCCTACAGACACCTAGAGCTTGCTTTCTGAGAAGAGGACAAGAGATCCTGACCCACCAAGCCTCAGTCCCTGCAAGGAGGAAAAACTCAGAAAAGTCACACAAGACAGCACCACACAGAGGCAGCTTAAGTACAATCTATATTATCTCTATATTTTTTATTTGTCATCATATTTGCTCATTTCTGCGGAGTATAACGTCACAAAGACCAAAATAGAGAGCGGCTTGTCGCTGAGCTCACATCAGTTAAACACGATAGGTACAAAACTAGGTGACTCTGTCTTATTTATCATACTTTTTTCAGTCATTTATATACAAAGAACTACTCTATATGGAAAAATAATAAACAAATCCCATGGGTATGTTACATAGTAAACAAAAAAGGAAGGAAGGAAGGAGAGCGGAAGCAGGTGAGGGAGAGCAGCTCCAAGGGTCTACTCCTGGAACCGGCACATTTCCTGGGTCCTGGGCTACCATGAGCAGACCAACGAGACCATGGATGCCTTGGCCTTCTTGGTCTCAAGCTCTGGATCTCATATTTGTTCCTCCAACACAAAGTGGCTTCAGAGCCAGTGCGTGCTCTGGCACTTGCTGGTCATGAGGAAGAGCAGGAAGCTCAGTGCTGGATGATTTTGTGTGGTGTTAAAAAACATTATATATATATATATATATATAAAATTATAAAGTAGGGCAGCTGGCTTGTTGGGTACTAGCTCACCAGGCTCCTCCAAAGGCAGCTGGTGCAAAAGTTCTACTTGAAACCATTACACACAGGATGCTTTGAGAATATCCAGATCCTCTGCACAGTGCATATATATATATACACACATATATATATATGTATGCAGGAGACATTTCAAATTAAGTTCTAAGACGTGCTTCTCTAAGCCTGGACCACCTTCATACTCAATGGGGCAATCACACAGATTTCAGCCAGCCAAATGCAACAAAGACTGGGGGCAGTCACCAAGTGATACTAGGACATCATCAAGGCCTGCAAATGCAAAGAAAGGGGAGGATGGGAACATGTCCCATGCCCCACTTTCCTAAGAGAGAATAACATGAGTATCTCACATTAAAGGAATATTATTCAAATCCATAGAAAACAGAAACAAAATCTGTTCAACCTTCAGCCCTGCTTTCCAGGCGCCTTATGCATGAGGAAATTTTACACCAAGCCCACACAAAGCCTGGCAGAGTGTGTTTGCATGTCTAATTAAGCAGTTACAAATTTAGGAAAATTAGTAACCAACAGCATGGCATTGCAGAATGTGTGTGAATGGGGAAATGCAGCAGCAGAGCAGCTGCTGGATCCACTGACCCTGCCTCCAGTTCCCTCAACAGTTCTGAGAACAGATCTCACCTGCTTCACCATCCCTCAGAAACATCACTACAGGAGGAGGCACTATCCTTAAGCTTTTCCCTATCTCATCCTCACAGCAGGGAGCAAACCTGCCTCTGTCTTCAAGCCCTTTTACCCAGCTTGGGCAGAGCTGCTGAATAAATGAGATGCTCTTCACTCACTGTTGTTTCTGAAACACTCAATGAACAAGCAGATGGATTAGGAAACAAATGGAAAGGCAAACTCCAGGCAGCAAACCAGACTCCAGTTCTCCTAGCAGGACAGCAAGGAGCAATCCAGAATCACACAGGTCTGCTCTCAGCAGGGGAGGCATAAAGCAGGAGAGGAACAGAGAAACTACAGCTGAACACAGCAGCTTGCTCCAATCTCTCAATTCTGCCTCCTGCTTGCAAGTAGGAGCATCTGAACTGTAGCACTTGAGTGTGCTGCCTACTTTTCTCCTAGATAATTTTAAGCAAGCAAGAGGCATTTCCTGGTCCCTGGATAGATCTACAGAGGGATCACTTTTGTTTTGGCTCCACTAAGTACACATGGGTTCATCCAAAATCCAACAGAAGCAAGGGAAAGCTTCTCCACTTCCATGGATGCTGGCTCCACCCTTGATAGCACTGCAGGTGCAGCAGAGCCTGTGAAATGTGCAGCAGCAGCAGCACCAATTGCTGCCTGAGAAAATAAAAGAGAGAAATTTGACCAGCCAGGTCATGTCAGGTTTCAAGTCTGCTCCAGTCTGCCCCAGAAGAGCTACAGAGATAAAAAACAAAGGAGTATGCAACATTCCTTCTTGAATATTCCAGCCTAAGGGTGAAACCTGTGTAGCTCAGGGGAAGTCAGTGATGATGAGCATGGTGAGAGCTACCTGTGAGAGACCAGGACCTGCTCTGGCACCTACCTCTAACAGGGGCAGATGTGATGCTGGGGGACAGGAAACAAGAAGAAAAACTGGTTTTGTGTTTACATATCTTCCCTTCCCAAAGAGGGGTGAAGGGGCCAGAGCTCTACAAACTTCCACCATTTATCATAGCCAGTCCTCAGTCTTGTTAGCAGGAGAAAGATGCTCCAGGGAGGCTTCCTGCCACAGGAACGCCAGGGAGATGGGAAGCTTGGACACCTGGTGATTAAAAAACTCCACCCTTGTGAAAATATAATTCCATCCCCACTGAGCTTTAACAAGCTTTTATAGCAACTTGGGATGCAGGGAGCCAAGGAACATGCGGAAAGCCCTGTCCTTTTCCCCTTCACTCCCTCAAGTGACTCCAGGACTCATAACCAGGTGCTCAGAAGGGTGGGGACAGATGTTCCTTACTTAGCACGCAGGGCAATGGCTATTTAGAAAGACCAGTCTCTGGTGTGGTCCTCAGGAACACTTATGGCTGCATCCCCATCCTATTTCCCAAGGATCACAGAGATGTTAATACCAGTGAGCTGGGAAGAAAACTGTGCCTACATCAACCATTCAGGAAAAGAAACAGAAAGCAGTCAGGTTGTCCTGTCAGAAAAAAACCAAAAACATTTTTGGCTACAACTCCAGGCTCTGGTCAGTCACACTCCACACCAAGCTGAGCAGGTGTGGGAAGCCAGAGCCCCAGACCCTGGAGTTTTGCTTGAATCAATTCAATTTGATTGCTGCCATTGGAATGGGCTCAAGCATGGAGCCCTGGCCATTCTGCGACCTCCGCATTGCTCATTGTGTCCGTACCCACAAAAGCTAATGGGAAGTGCCCACTTCTGCAATTTTTACTCTCTAGGAAGTGATATGACTTGTGTGTTTCTCCATTAATAAATTATTAAAAAAAAAACAAAAAAAAAAGAAAATGACAGCCTGTGCTGGCAGTTTCCCCCCCTAGAATTCATCATCAGAGCTCAGCAAGAGGGTCTTCTCGTTGTCTCGGGCGCCGGAGCAGCTGTGGGAGCGTGAGATCACGTGGCTGCCGTTGCGCCAGGGGGGACCGTGCTCCAGTGTCGACTGCTGCGTGTACTGCTGATAGGCTGGAGAGAAGTTGTGGATCGCATCTTGGACAATGTCATGGGGATTCATGGTCTCCTTGAGGCTGCTGGAGATGCTCTTCATGGGAGCACAGCGACCTGTTTGGATAAGACAGGAAGGGACAAGTAAAGAACACTGCTGCCTTCCCCACACCCTTAATATGAAGGTAAGGAGAACAGGGAACATGCAGTCCTAGATCCCGCAAAAGGTGTGTTACAGACTTCCTTAAGCAGCTGCTGAGGAAATGCCACACAAGTAGTGTTGAGTTTTACCAGTGGTGCTCCTAAACCCAGACACCTAGAGTCAAGTGAATCCACCACAGCACCAAATGGGGGACATACCATGAGAACGGGACATACCCACAGTGACAACCTCCACTACACACTATTGGTGCTGGCCTGAGTGTGCAATGAACACAGTCAGGTAGGAGGTGCTCCTCTAAACACTTTCAGAAGACAAAAACTAAGTAAATTCTAAAGATATAGGAGAAATGGCATTTGCCATTCCACTCACTGCAAATTAAGACTGCTAGGTGGTATCAAAGTGCCCATGGGAAAGAGATCATACAAGTAAAAAGCAGCACAAAGTAATGAAAAGAGGGAAACAGGCAGTACTAGAGGCAGAACTACCCCATGTGTCATGATGATACCATGAAGAACGCAGCAGATGGAGAATGTACCACCCAAGTGCTAAGCACAGAGGGAAGCGGTGTCTCCTAGGAGCTGCCATGTCTCATGGCTACTAGGTTCCATTTCCAGTGTGGGCTTCTGGCTCTGCTCAGTTCTGGGGATGAGCTCCCTAGAGAACCCAAGTATGCTGATCATCTGTGGCAATTATAAAGTGAAGGGAGGCTGGGGTGAGAGCAGCTCCTTTGAGAGCCTGCACAACTCTTCAGAGAGAAATTACCAGAGCTCTGACACAAATGCTCTAAAACTCTGCATTAATGCCCACGCTGCTGTTTTACTACTTGTAATCCAGACAACCCTAAAGCAGCTGTGTGAGGCACTGGAGTCACAGACTTGCAAGGAAAGGGGAACAAGGGGCAGGGCAGGTTGTAGGCAGGCTAGGAATCAGGAGAGAACAGCATCCCAGTTAAAAACCAACTGAGACAAACACACAAAGCATGCTGTACCTACCGTATGGCCCATATGATGGAACAGCTGCATCAGGGACCAGTGGCCAAAGCAAGGGAGAGATAAAAGGAAGAGGAGAGAAAGACAGAGACAGAGAAAGAGGAAATAACAAGAACTGAACAAGGCCCACTGCAGAAACATTCCCCACTGTACTGACCTGTAGTTTACCCTTGCATTCCCCACAGATCTCATCTCCCCCCACTGCAACCACTGTTCCTCCAAAACCTCTGGAGCTGGCTGGGATGGAGGGGTCCCTTACATAGACGCTGCCCAAGGGCTGCTGCGTTCCAGCACCTCAGCACAGATCTCCTCCAGAAGGAAGGAAGCCCTTTATTTGGAAAACACTGGACAGACTAGGCACAAAACCCCCTTTTCCCAGAGATAACCTCCATCTTCCCCAAAATAAGAATTTTCCTTATACCAGCCCAGCCCTCACAAAGTCATTACAGGAAGATCCTCCTCCTCCGTGACAAACATATTGCCAAAGCACAGCCTCATCTTCCCAAGCCAGATTCAAAACAGAGCCTGTTTTAGGCCCTGTCCCTCCTGCCTTCAGTCTGTTACACAATCTGGAGCAATGGAGTTCCCCTTTGGGGAGATAGGAAGAAGGACAAACCCATTCTACCGAAACAATGCAACATCTTACAGCCCTCAGGTCTGCAACAAGTTGTCGTGGGTGGCATACTGGGGAACTGAAAAGGGAACAGTGCAATTCAGTCAAGGTTTCTGCCCTGAAGAGCTGTTGCACAATAAATCTGTTCAGACACCACACAGGAGGGGATGTGGTGTTTTCCAAGCTATCAGGTTGGGAGTCATATCAGTGTGCTGGCTGCCTGAGGGACCAGCCTCCACCCAGTCTCACTCCCAAAGAGACAGGCCATATGCACTGGCATGCTTCCTACCTTGGGCATCAATCCTCTTGTCCACATACACCTTGTATGTGAAGGCGTGGCGCAGGGCAATGGCTGCAAAGAACATCTCCACACAAATGATGAAGTCTTGATAGCCAGCAGCTACTGTGCCTTCACCCACAGACACATTAGCAGAGTGGATTTTGGGGATGGCACCACACTTTTCCAAGATGGCCAAGAGCATCCCTAAACAAAGTAATAAGTTCATGTAAATGTGCAGAAAACATGGTCTCACAGTAACTGCAAAGAATGGAAATTTATACAGCTGTTTGTGCTGTGTATCCTAGACACAAACCCACCCACCACAGGAGCTACAAACAGAGTGGGCTACAAACACGCACCTCTGGTCACTTATACAACAGAGAAAAAAAGAATAAAATGAGACAAATACATTTAGGCAAAGACTGTTCAAACACCGATCCTCTTCTATCCTCAACTGACACAAACTGTGGAACTAACTGTTGTAGGACTTGATTAAGTCCAAAAGGGTAAGAGGAGTCAGATATTTTTGTAAGCAATCCTGTGATCTCAGTGTTGTCCCAAAATAGGTTCTTTCACACAGTGTGCAAGAGGCCAATCCACACAAAGAGTCAAGGTATTTGGCTTATTTACTTATTTAGTTCTGCACAGAAAGGGGTGCTGGCTGGCAAATCCACAAAGCCAGCATGATGACTACCAAAGCTTTTTGCTATTTATACATTTTACCAAACAAAGCCACTCATATTCCTTGGCTAAAAGTTACCTAATTCTCTTTTTAATTAGTATTCTGTCTTCTATTGGTTAATGGGCCTCTCCCTGCTCATGCTAATTAGTCTGCATGCTCAGTGTGTCTCTCCTTTCAGCTGGTGGTTTCCTGGGTCAGTGGCCATGATCTCCCCCTGCCAGAATTACCTTTTGCTCTGTAGGAGCTGATTCAGCACAGCTGCTGAGCTGTCTTTATTAATTTCTTCCTTACCTTGGGGGTTCTGCCAAATGTCTTTGTGGCTTGTAAATTCTGCATTCTTCATGTCCACTATCTGTGGTACATCCCCCTTCCCAAGCTTTGTTAACCTCCCCTGAGGTCACTGAAGAACGCTGATCCCTAAACCTTAACAAGGCAGTTCCACTGTCAAGTAATTCGTCTTTCTAACACCTGGACATCACTTGGAGCTTGTTTGTTAGCTCCTGTTCCACAGATTAAACCTCTTGTTGATTAGACTTGAAAGCATATAAAGATAAAACACCAAAGAACATAGTTTCTTAAGAAAATTTTGACATATTCCACATTTTTCAACATCAGCACTTGCACTAGCTAGAACAAAAACTGAAGTAACAGAACTTTTCATTTAAGCATATTAGTGTTTTTGACACACCACTGTAAAAAAGAGGTTTCTCCCTGTCCACAGCTTAGTGGCTGAAGAATTTCAGAGAAGACAAAGTGTGTGACCAGATGCTTCAAGATGATAAACCAGACAGCTTATTAGTTTGTCTGTAAACAGGGAGGATGGGCTATACTCCAACAGCCTGAATTCCACCTAAGTTCCTACTCAATTAGTCTTTGAAGTGCAACTCAGTAAACCTAAGTAGGGCATTGAACAGGGAAATGCTTAGAGCCAATTAGTCAGAAGCACTAAGCTTAGGTGGAATTTTGACTTTCTGCTGGTGCCTCTGCTTCATGTGTATGAATTCTGAGTGTCCTTCTCCCAGCAGTGGTTCTATGGCAGTACACACTGCATCCAACCAGCTTGCTCCTTCACATATACCACAGACATACCATTAAAATTTTATTTTTAGAGCACTAAAAAAGCACTAAAACTTTTTAGATGTGTCACTTTAATCAATAAAATGGCAGCATGCAGATAAAATGTTGGCAGCTTGTGCTTTATGATTGTTTCAGGAATGCAGAGAACTCTTCACCCTATCAGCTGATTTTGCCAAATATAAGTTCTTGTGCACACACACAGGGATTCAGGAGCATATAAACAAAAATTAAACCGTGCAAAACAGCTTTCCCAGAGAAAAGCAATGAATGACTATAAACCAAATGGAATACAAGAAGACATTTTGTCTATTAATCAACATCTGCTCTATCAACTCTTGTGTCTGAGCCCCTGCAGAGAGCTCTTTATGCCTACCAAGGGAAGGGAAAAACAGCTCACCTTGCCAGAAGGACAGGAAGATGACAGATTTCACCATGAAGAACTTGAGGACTGGGCTGTAGGGACTGAGCAGCTCACGCGTGGCAAAGTAGAAAAGGAAGAGGGCATACAGTGCCAGGCTGACAGAGATGTTGTAGATGATCGTCACATAGAGGTAGCCACTGGTTACACTGAAAAGAGAAGATATATATGAATGCCTGAAACTTCAGCATGTTTTCCCCTTGCCACTGTCAATGGAAAGTTCCAAGAGTCCATTTCCTTCCTGCCTCCCTGTCCCATTTCCACTCCTAAACCAAGGTAGAAGAAACATGAAGCTAAAAGAGAACTACCTCTGCCTTCTTTTCTCATGCACATCAACCCATGTACTCCCATCTTTTCCCAGCACACATAGAGACAATAAGCAAAGCCAGACAGAGAAAGGGCATCCAAATCTTGAATGCTAAATAAATACACTTACTCAAAGTCACCATCCTGGTACTTGCCGAAGGCCTGAAGGATGACTGTGCTGATGGCCATGAGGGGCTTCACCACACAGAACTGCAGGGTAGCCTACAGGAATGAGAGGGGAGCAATGAGAAGTCAGGTGGTACAAGAGGACAAGCTGCCAACAGCATCACAATGGAGTATCCACTGGGACCGCTCAGCAAGGCAGCACAATCCAGCCCCAACAAGATGTCTGACCCTGCCACTTGCTAATTGATTGTGTTTGAGGATGCAGCACTCAAGAGGAGATGAAGGAGTTTCAGAAGATGTACATGTGCTATCTACTTGTCCAGAACAGGAAGAAAAACCTCTCTGTAGGGTTGTTCCTAGAAGCTGTCAGCCCCACTCTTCCAGAGCTGCTTTTCACAGGCTGTGCTGCAGCACATTTATGCACTGTAACAGTACAAAAAGCAAGAAATCTCACACTGTGCTATGGCACAGACACAACAATTTTAACAGAGACATACTGGGGAAGGAAAGCAAACTCCAGTCTATAGCTGTCACAAAGTTAGGCAAGAAAGTCCCCTGGATCAGAGGGGAACCCCGCTGTTTGAGGAGGAACTTTTGACAACTGCCACAATATTCAGGCATTTTGTAAACACAGCAATGTGTGTTGCCACACACAAGTTAAGAGCTATTCTGTTGTCATCCACGTGACCTTTACTGAATCTCCCCAAAGATTCCATGGCACTTGGGATCAGCTCTATGTCCGTTCTGCCCGTATAAACTACTGCTCCTATTGGGACTGAGTGTTCTCTCAAAGCCACTGCATTCCTCAACTTTCTGCAGATGTTGAACTTCAAAGTCCTAAAAAAAGGAAAGACTTATGGGCCTAAAAATGTCTCCCTGAAGAGATGTGACCTATGTCTCCCTGAAGGAGGCTACAAGAGCCTGGGTAGGTGCTGACCTGTGTGCCTGTGGGGAGGGCTATGTATGGAAAGAAGGTAAAACCAAACAGTAATAATTGCTTTGGATACGATGCAATTTGTTAGTGGTCATAAGACTTCAAGGAGATTAAAAACCCCAGCACATGCCAGTTAGTGAGTCACTTTAAATATGTGAACTGGAAAAGGTCAAGCTAATTGGTAAACAACTCCATCCTCTGAGCTTCCTCTCCTCCTGATCTGGGGACATTTTAACCATTTCCCTGCAATCCAAACCACCACGTACTATTTTTAGCTGCTTCCCTAGAAGATGCTATAGCATACGGGAAGCACATGGATGGTGTGTGATCCATGTGTGAGGGTCACCAGACAGAGGCCCAGCAAAGAATCTTGATCAAGACATCTTTAAGGAAACAAGCTTTTTCTATTTCACACCACAGACACCAGCACCTCACAGCTGGAGGTCCACAGGCAACACAGGCAGACTGACTGACCCACAACAGGGACCTGACTGAGAAAAAACTGAGAGGGGACAGTGTGAAGGTGGTAAGAAAAAAAATTTATAACACACAGATTCCTTCAGGATGAAAGGGACCAGAAAGAGCAGAAAATGGGCAGGTAGTGATGGGAGGCAAAAGAAGTGCTGGAGATACTGAGAACAGGGGTAAAAAGGGCAAGGTGTTCCTTTCAGTACATTTCTCTTCCAGATCATCACTATGGTGGATACTGCACGGGTCAGCACTGACATTTGTTCTGCTGCCCTTTCACACTAGCCTTCCCAGGAATCTACCTTGAAAAGTCTTCCCCAAAAATCCTGAAAGTCTAGAAGTACCAGAAAGTGAACCTTGACATCGATAATTTCTCACCAAGACAATATTTAAGTTCAAGCCAAGAAGGATGGAAGTATTTAGGCATCTCTTTTCAATACACCTCCCTCACAGCCTCCACAGCACACTTAGCAGTTAGCAAAGGGCAGGCATGAGTAGAAAAATTGCTGCCAGATACCAGCAAAAGGAAAGCAAAGTGTCTACCAAAGACAGAGTTACCAAAAGAGCTGGGATTTGGGGAGGCCAGCAGAAAAAACACACCTTCCCCATACCCTAAGGTGTGCTTCTAGTCTTCACTGTTGCGAACAAACTTTCCAAACACAGACATGTGCAACCCAGGTAGTGACTGCAAGAGGCTGTGGGACATGAGAAGCAAGAAGTTGAAGGGAAATTATTTCACCAGCATTCATTCACTTTCATGAGTGCTACATCTGCTTACAATATATTTAAAAGGTAAAAATTAACATTAGGAGCAATAAGAATAGGTAATGCAGTGAATCAACCAAAGGGTGTCCAGATGAAACATGTGAGAAACAGCTGAAGTAACATACTGGGTTCAGACTAGAAAAGAAATTAAGAAGCAAGAAAACAGAAAAGTTTTAAGGACAAAACATGGGGCAAGGACAAATAGAGCACATAAGCAAAAGAAGCAGTCCTTTGAAAATGGCCACTTGTGCAGCACAGCTTAACACTGGACATTAACATGAGGCTGCACTGTACTTTTGATGTTCCTGCATATTGCTAAAACACAGAAGATGGGCCATGTTGTTCAGGAGAAGCCAGGGCAGATATCTAGACCTGCTGACTGAAATTACAATGACCTGAGCCCTTTCAAAGAACCAGACCTGCTTCACACTGCCTCCTCCTGTGTTCATTTCAGCAAGTGAGCAAAGCCTTGAAATTCACCTGCTGTTTCATGACAGCCAGAGGTGACTGACCTGCAATGAGCAGACAAGGGCTGTATAGAGGTTTAGGCCTCCCCCATCCACCCGCCCTCAACATACCCAGTTCAGCACAGACAGACACACATGGTGAGCAATACTTGGTTCCTCCTACAAACCAATGTGTCATGCTCAACCTCCACCCCTCCTCAGCTCCAAACCACAACAGCAGCACTGGGAATTCAGGAGGCTGTTACACAACTGTGGGGTGTCTGCGACACAACACAGACATCAATTTCTTGGAGTTGGGACCTCTGTAACCCAGAAATTAAGAGAGTTTCTTCCTAGGATTAACATCAGTTCCAGGAGATAACTTGTGTCTTAAACTAAGGCCTTCCTGGTGTGGGGTTGAGTAGAAAATGTTAAAATCATTCTTAACATATTTAAATAATTCTTAACACCAAACCAACCCTGAAACACCTCCTCTTCTCAGCAGTCTGCAGGCCTCTCAAAATGCTATTAGAGCCCCGATCAAAGATCTCAGAAATTCAGCAGCAAAAGGCACCATTGCCACCCCCACACACTTAATTTCTGCAGAATGGCCCAGCCCATACCTGTTTGCAGAATCTCAGGAATCCAATTGAATATGTCTTTCCCCACAGGCAGCAAGTCCCGTACACACAGCTGGACCTGAAAGAACCAACACAAGATGACAGAGTTCACAAGCAAGATTCGGGCAAGAGTGCAAGATTCCTACCCTCTTTATCCACCTCTCTGTAGACAAGTTGCAGGACTGGTGCTTTCTCCAACAATGACTGCAGTTATGGCCATACCGTCTTCTAGAGACGTTGTCTAAAACAACATCCTGACTATACACTGCATTTTTTTTTCCTGTCACTGAATAGCATGGGGAGAAATATAGATCCTAGAGGAGACACACACAATCAACTGAAGACAGAAAAGATTCAAAGGAGGAGAAGGGAGTAGGAAAATAAACAAAGGACAGGCAGGTGTCCAGAAAAATTGTGAATCAGTCCAGCTTGCCTAAGAGGATGTGATCAGCCTGATCTGTCTCAGAGCAAGGTAAAATCATCATCATCCACGCTGCCCAGTTCCAGCAGACGCTTGCCACCTGACACAGTTTTTCAGGACAGGGATAGAGAAATAGTAGATGGGCACAGAAGGAGGACAGCGTCATGCTGTAAGCACAGTAAATACTCACTCAATTGGTTTCCCTCTGATCTCAGACATGATGGAGCTCTCCCCTCCCAAATACTCATAGCAGAGGCTGAGAAAGTTGTATATTACAAAGGCTGCAAAGACATCAATCACAGTAAAATGACAACCAACTTCAAAACAGGTGCAAGGACCAAAAGCACAGGCAATAGACCAAACATTAGCAGGGACTGCTTATGCAGCACCTTTCTCTTCAAAGCACTCCAGATTTTCACTGCATTTATCATCCTACCTCAGCACTCACAAGACCATCTGAATGGGAGTTTGGCCAAGGTCCCAGGCCAGTTCCATGACTCATGCCAAAAGGGTCACAGAACCATATAAAACTGTGGTCAGTCTCTGTTTTATTTGGCATCTGTAAGATGCCATTCTTTACAGGGTTCCTGTGCATTATTCCAGGACATTACACTGGTACTAAATAATCTGGAAAAGGTATCTCTGATCCATTAGCCACATGTTATCTCCTGTATTTAACCTTTTAGCTGATGAACACAGTTTGTCTCTGCCAGGTAACCAGGCTATAGACATAAGAGTTGGAGAAACAAAGAGTTTATAACAATCAGTGAAACTCTGTTTCCATGTCTTGTGGGGACTTTTTCAAAACAGGCTCTGTTCTTCATTTTCTCAAAAAGATAAAATTTCTTGTGTGCTGAATAAAATTCTCCTTAGACCACCTCTTTTCTGCCTTCCCCAGAAACCTGTTACAGATGACAAACAGACTGACCACTAACACTCTGACCCATTTCAGTTCCCCATAACTACAGATGTATCTCCTTTTCATGGGATCCAAACTCACTTAAATGTGCATGAAGTGAGCCTGTATACACCCTGTCTGCCACTCTCTTGACTTGTTGTAATTACTGTTGGACCCTCGAAGTTGTCAGATTTTCTAGGGCAAGGACTGTACTTCTGCATTTGACACAGACAGCCCTGGGGCAAAATGACAGACCAGATGACCCTTCTTGCAACATTATATTCTATGGTCACCTGTGTCTGGACACTCCCTGGAATGACAACACCCAAATCCTGGTTTTTGCCCCAAATAACTGGGATAGAAACAGCAGTCTCAAGGAACTTTAAAATAAGAACAGGAACTTAATAATGTACAACACTGAGAAGCTGATCTCCCCAAGCAGCCAGTTATTAGACCTGAGGTCAATTTTTCCACATGAATGATCTTCCAAAGTCAGACAAATTCTTCTATAAGCATCTAAACTATGCCCTGGCAAAGAGGTACTCCATGGTCCCTAAAACACAGTTTCAAAACATTTACTTATGGCTTGTAGACGTGTCTAGCTGGGAAGACTGCTATGGCACATAAAAGCCAGTGGTATACATGCTTCTATGTATGTAATTGGGATATTGTTATTCTATCTGTAATCCTTATTATTGAAGGAAATTCACACAGTAATAATTTTGCCAAAGCTTTAATTAGGACAGAAAACACCAACCACAGAAAAATTATTTAAATAACTGTGGTAACCCCTTTTGCCTTCAATTTTCCTGCAACTTAGCTGACAGCACCCAGCACCCAGAGGAAGAAAAGCTAAGCTTTTCCTATTGTCCTCCAGTGACCCCTGCCCTCTGATGTGGTCATTACAATACCAGCTGCCCATTCCCCAAGCACTAGGGAAAAGATGACATCAGAGGAAGAAAACAAAACAAAACAAGAGGGAGAAATATCTGCCCATTCATCCCCAAAAGAAGTGCTAACTAGCAAAGCTCATCACACCAGCAAAGACCTATTCTCCCTTTCCCATCCACATCCATCAGATGGTATTCATGATACCAACATTAAAAAAACCCCAAACAAACCCTACTTGTATCAGTGTTTCTGACACCCTGGTTGGTATAGAAGCAGTAACATGAAAGAGTAAAACCAGAACAGGCTCCTCCTAACACACACTACAAAATACAGTCCATAAATGGCTTAAGACAGCTTTCAAAATGTACTAGTAGGGTCTTCTTCCTCCATTTCCTAATAGCCCACTTTGCAATGTATAAAACCTTTCTAAAATATAAAGAAGGTGGGTGGCAAGAGACAAAAAGGCTGTTTTGAAGCAATCCCCAGAAAAAGTGAGGGAGAGAACCTGCTTTCCAAAGGTGTCTTCACCCCCACTTGTAGTTTTCTCACACAGGCCAACCTCCCGAGGTGAACCCTGGAGCACCGGCAGCCTCCTGAGCAGATGTTCAAATGCTTGCAAACTCCCAGGGCAAGAGAGGCAGAGGGACAGTGGCTGTTGCTAGGAGAGCAGCAGGCTTCCTGCTAGACTCATACACACGCACAGGGCGGGGAAAGAAAAAACCCAGACCCCAAATAAAGATGCTTTCTTGCATCATGTGTGTACATTTGCCATCTGCTGCTGCATCCACAGCATTGTTGTGGACGTGAAGGAAGGCCTGCTGGTCTCTTCAGCTGATTAACTTGTTCACGTGGCCAGGGGCAACTCTCTGCATTGCAGATCTCACCAAAACAACTGCACCAACGATTTAGAATTTAATGAGGGTATGGTGAGAAATTGTCCTCAAAAAGTCACTGCTAGAGTGCAGTATCTTCTGCTGAGTGGGTAGAGGCTTCTTACAGGATGAGACCAGGAGGGAAGTTACAATGGCATTTACAGGAAAGTAACCATTTCCCTCACATACAGTGCTAGTGGTATTACATCACTGCAGCAGATAACCAAAACTAAGCAGGCGCTCCTCCTGAACATGGCACCCTCTCTTCTACAGGACTCCAAAGCACTTTACCAGCCCCAGCACATGGCCACTGTGTTACCCTGTGCAAGCACACGAGTGGCCCCAGGATGGGACCAGAAGAATACTCTGCTAACAAGCTGCACCAGGAACACAGGACAAAGCAGTGTCTGGCTGCTAAGTGCTGTTAAAAGAGGCAGGAGCTAAACAATACGTCCCTTTCTAACACCCAGATACCATCAGATTTTTTGGCTTCACCAAAAGTTTTTACCTTCCTGAAGCAAAGGACCCCAGAAAACCATAAACTTAGTCTCTACAGAATCCTGGAGGGAAGGCTCATGCTCAGAGGCCAGTGAGGGAGACGATCAAGTTGGACAGGGCTTTGAGCAACCTGATCAAGTGAAAGGTGTCCCAGACCGTGGGAAGGGTGCTGCACTAGATGATCTTCAAAGGTCCGCTCTGAGACAAACCATCCTACCATTCTATGATTTTCAGTCACTAAGCAAGCCATGGTCATCCAGTTAGGCACACTATTCAGTAGGTGACAGCAACACTCTCTCCTGAAATGCTGTTTTCAACCAGAAATAAAGTTCTCTCAGGGCAGAGACTTCCCACCCCCCCATTTTCTGTCTGACCCCTCCTTACCTTCATAGCAGTCCCGCACTGTGCCGAAGTAAACATAGTACTGGTCATTGGTGAAGAAGAGGAGGCTGAGCCATGAGTCAAAGGCATAAATGGGCACGATGAAGAGGATCCGAACGATGTAGCGCTGTTCGTTTGGGCAGCTGTAGCAGCGCAGATGCATGTAGATCTGAGAGACGCACGGGAGAGCGGGATCAGCGGTACATGGAGCACAGAGGAGAAAGCAGAACTGGAGAGTCAATTGGGCCAGGAAAAACAAACACACTAAATCACCTCTCGATTGCCTCCAGCAGCCTCAAGGTGATGAACATAAAAGAAAAGATAAATCACTGTTATCGTATGGCATTGATATAGCAACCCTTAGTTTGCAGACAGGGGGAATGAAAGGGAAGAGAAAATGAAGGCACTTCTAATCTAGTTTCTTATAAGGAATTGGTTTATTTTCACATAACCTTGCCCACATTCTTTTTGTTTTTTTGTGAAACTTTTTTTCCAGTCATTAGTTCTACATTCCTGCTATCCTCTTTTAAGTACCTAAGACTCATTACACTGCAGGCTGCTTTTCTCTGAAAAACACACTTGTTGTGAACACTCTCTCTTTTGGCTGCTTTGGATGCTTTTGAGACTTTCACCTGAAACAACCTAAGAGAGCCCTTTACAGTACATCCCAAAGCTGATAAGCCACAGCCCATCTGCTCAAAAGGTGTTACTCTGCACATGGGTGACAGCACAGCCACAAAGAGTCAGCTATCAAGGGAGCACTGAGCTCATGAAGTGTGCTCAAAGGAACCACACAGTTTGTTCTGTCTGACTGCACACATGCCAATCCCTCTAAGTCACTGGCTGGGGGGAGCACAGCATCCCCACCCTTCCCGCTCCCACCACTCACAGTTCCTTAGACATCATTAAATCCCACACCGAAGATGCTTTTTTACAGAATACCCACCTCCCCGAAAAGGTACTGACCACAAGCACACCCTGAAGATGAGCACAACCCCTGCAATGCCCTAATAACACAGGCAGAGCTTCAGCACGATTTGTGGGTACACTCTCTTGACCACGGAGTCAGGAGAGGCAAGGCCTCTGTACAGCAATTCTCACTACGCTGCTGTCCCACCTGCTGGAATTAGTAACAGCCAGCTGACTGCATATGTGCCTCACCACTGACTGATTCTGCTGCCAGAAGAGGTACAAGCATTTGTTTGAAGCTTCACCCTGCATTTTGGGGTGCTATGAGGATTCTCCAGAGACTAAAAAAACATACACTCTCATCTTTCCACTGTAAGGGAGAGGGGCTTGTGCCTCCCCAGCTGTCTGTTGCTTGTTCCTCCCTGGTCAAAACTGAAGGGCTCAAAAATACTTCTGTTTCCTTTCCCTATGAAATGCTCAAAAATACTTCCGATTCCTCTTCTTGACCCATGAGGAGCTCACAAAAAGCTCATTTCCTGAGGAGAACAGGTTGAAAGTAAGCTAACAAACCTTAGAGATATTTTTGCCTTGCGACAATCCCAGTGACACATCTCATCCAGCACAGAGACAGCTGACACCAGAGTTCAGATGACTCCAAGCTTTGCCCTTGGGATGTCAGAAGAGCCCAGTGATCCGTGTGCCTGGGAGAGCACAGGAACTGCTGCCGTGTAAGAGGACAACAGCGTGTTTCAATCAGCAGTGTCTCTCTGGCACTGACCTCCATGGGTTTCTTCAGAGAAGGCCATTAATGCCTAACTGTGCAATGCTATACTGCACAGGAAAACTTCTTCCTACCCTCAGCAGGTGATCAATTTGACAGGAGGATCCACGGCACTTGTAATTGTTACCCAAGCTGATGGAACTGCAGGTGTTACTCTTATTCATCTGTGACTAATTCATTTTTTACCTTCACTAGCCCCTGTACTCCATCAATAGGCTGTACTTTTCTACATTCTAGTCATCACTCTGGAATCTACAATCCAACAGGTACAAAACATGGGTTGATAAATAACAGGGCTTGTGTTTCCCCACTGTATTTTTCAGTTCACATGACAACTGCATGAAAGAGAGGCAGAGAACAGGATGCAGGGTTTGACTTACTCAGGCTCCCAGGACACCTGCCCCAGAGAGAGGGGAGGAGGAAAAAATTAAAATGAAACATTTCCTGCTACTCCTTTCCGCAGCAGAGTTCAGCCTGTGGAATCCACTGGCACAGGAGATCAAAGGAGGAATGTCAAACAACAGGTGACTAGGATCTTTTAGCTAACAGCTGACACAATAAAAAATGGCAATATTCAGCTAAAGACCTGTGAAAGGATGACCTAAGATAACACACCGTTCTACAAACCTTCAAGAGATGGTCAAATGTTTTACACCTGCTAGCTTTAAAGAGTGTGCTTCCTCTCCATTCACACTATGGAAATGGTCTGTTCTTCATGTGGGGAAAAGGAAAGGATGAGAAGTACAAGTGACAGGGTTTTACCTGATGGCAGGTGATGAGCAAAGCTGTCCATACAAAGAAACCTGAGATAGCCTGAGCAGCAGTGGTCATGAGGAATATTGGCTGCTCCACAGCTGTGGGGCTGCCATCCTCTGGCATCCAGGAGAAGTTAGGAGCCACAGCTGGAGTGGTGGCAGTTGACCCCAGTCTGGGGGCTGCAGTGACATCAGTCATCATAATCATGGTGCCTTTTGGTGTGAGGTTCCAGTTGGGATTGCTAAAGAGCTGCCCACGGGCCAAGACCTGTCAGGGAAGAGAACCACAAAGCAATTGAGCTCAGCTGAAAGGAGTCAGGAATGTAACAGAACTTTGCACCTCTCACATGCCTTCCACCAGGCTGCTCACATGCTTTGTGAACAGGACCTGGGTGTGTCTGCCACAGCCACTCCTTGTGATATAACAGATCATGGGGTACTCAGAAACCTCTGACAGCCCCCCAGAGATCATGAAATCTGGCCACTGCCCTCATCACCCCCATTCTGCAATAAAAATATATAAGATGAATACAGCATTCACTAGAGATCACAGAATCATGGAATGGTTTCGGTTGGAAAAGACCTTTAAGACCATCTAGTTCCAAGCCCTGTGCTACGGGCCAGGGACTCCTTCCACTAGACCAGGTTGCTCAGAGCTCCAACAAACCTGTCCCTGAACACTTCAAAGGATGGAGCATCCCTAAGTCCTCTGGGGAACCTGTGCCACTGTCTCACCTCTCTCACAGCAAAGAATTTCTTCCTAACATCTAATTTAACCTACTCACAGTTTAAAGCCATTTCCCTTAGTCCTATCACTACACACCCTTGTAAAAAGATCAGAAGGAAGTATCTAAACCATCCCTACTGGAAGATGACAGGCACACTTAAGTTAACATCTCTATTTTCCATAAGAGTACAGGTTATTCTGCTGTGTCCTACTGTCATGGTTAGCCTGCCAAGCAGCAACAAGAACACATGCCACAGTGTCCCTGTGCAGCAAGGGGGCAGAGGAAAGAATATCCTAATTCCTCCAGCAAGCAATACCCACCTCTCCTACAGCCATGCTGAAAACCACACTCAGCCCAAAGCACTCTCATTGAAGGATATGAACTGAAAGCTCTTCTCATTTTGACAGTGTGAACAGCATGAAAGTCATGCTTTTACCAAGATTTGTATGGCATAGTACATTTAGCCAGCCTGTTATTAATGTTACTAACTTTGCATTGTTTTCTACGTGATGTGAATTTAACCTGATTGGCTTTTAAAAGCCAGCTGACACATAAAAACACATACAGAACACAAGAATATGCAAGATTTCAAAACAGCATGACCCTTGGCCATTTCCTGGCTAAAAAGCCATCTTCTTTCAATGGAACAAATTCTTGAAGGCCTAAGATCTAAAATAGCTATTATTTTCAATTTGGTCATAAGCAGGCTCTAGTGTGACCTCTGGATTGTAGGAAGATAATCCACTTAAACCAAGATCACAAGCAGGCAGCCATTGGTTCTATCCATTAGAAGAGCTGCTTCTGATCTCCCTATCAAAGGGAACAGCATAATATTGCCTCCTTCTGATAACCTCCTAATATTTTTCAGAAGAGCACTTCTATAAAAGCTCAAGTCATTGCTCCTACACAGGCCTTTATGATCAGTGAATGGAAAGGGCTTTGGAAAGGCCAATGATCCATTGCCAGAGTTTACAGCTGCACCAGGGAAGGACACATCTGTCATCTACTGACAGGTTGTTACAGAACACAAAAGAGAATATATGTTCACAGAGGAACTGCCCCAGCCCTGCTCCACCTGAAGCCACAGCACAAACTAGGGAACAGGTACCCACTAAAAGCAGAGTGCCAGTAGCAAGTCCTTTCCACATGCACACTACGGCACAAAAACGGCCCCTTTAGCACAGGCTTTTCCAAAACACACACTCGTATCACCAGTGTCTTACTATAGGTGGAGCTGCACAAGTGCTGTGCTTTAATTTACAAAATAATTGTCAAACCTGGCTTTTCTTTGTTCTTTCTAATAGATCCCTGCTCCAAGTTACAGCTTTCCATAACTGCACTTAGAATAGGATAACTCCTCTCCAGTCCTGATCAGTACAGAAAATGTAACTTAAGTTTTGAGTTTTCTAAGCATACAAACACACACATTTCATCATCTGTACTATATCTAAATATTTGGAGAGATGGAGGCTGGAGGGTGGAGATGTCACAAGTTAGCAAGGCTTTTATTGCTTTTAAAAGAAAGGAATTTCTACCCAAGTAACTTCTGAAGCAACTGAATATGCACAGTGCTGAGAGTGCTTCCACAAAGCTCAAGAAGGGCACATCTAAAATGAAATCAGAGCAGATGCACCTGTGGTTAACGCAACCCTAAATAAAGTCCAGCCAGCTGCAGTCCTGCACATCCCAGTGCACTTTGGGAGCTATGAAAGACAGGAAGCTGCTAAGCCCTTCCAAAAGTTCATGGGGGAGAGGATCTGTACAGTAGACCACAGGTGCCAGGAGAAACAGGGCCTGGACCTCCACACTCCAGCTAATCAAACCACATCAGCAGCAGAGACCCAAATGCAGCAGCAGTAACATCAAGAGAACTGAGGATCTGAAAGGGAATTCTTCTGTGTCTCTGCACTCATTTAAAAATAAGTAAAAACAGCAAAAGGTAATCAACAAGCATTTTGTCATGACAAGGGTTATGTATTCATAAGCAAGGTCAGTCATAAATTGAAGTTGTGTATGTAATCTTAACACTGCCCCCTTGTGATTATACATCAACGGCCATTAATTACAGGACTGTGCATCATTCTTCACCTAATCTCCTTCAATTCACACAGTCATTGAAATTAATAACTTTTTCCACCACTGTGTTCTGAAAGAAAATATACAAACTCTCTTACAAACAGGGCTTACATCTCCTACCCAAATCACCTCACCCATGAGCACTCAGGGCTGCCCCTGAGGACAGCATTTTATTTCCTTGACACCTTTTATTGGTTCTATGCATCAGTTTGCAGCTCATTCTCCTTGCTAGTGAAACATGAAGGAACGCTGTACTCCAAAATCCACAAAATTAACATAAGCCTTCCAAATTATCCCTTCTAATCTCCTCAAGTCCCACACACCACAGCTACAGTGGCAGGTATAAGTAGTGCACAAAGCTGTTGTTATGAAATTCTACTGTATGCAAGAAGCTGAAGCTGTAGGAGCAATTCCAGTCTATACTTAAGAAACAGGTAATAGCACAGATGACTGGAGCTTTAATCAGGAAAGTGGATTTCAGCTCATTCACTGCCACCAGCTCAGTCTGCTAGCTCCTCTTCTGCCTTTTTAAAAAGAGCATTGTGAGGGTGGGCTGTGGCAACTCGTCTCTTCAGGCCTTGCTTCTGAGATGTCTCTTCCCACTGTGCAACAGGACACAAGCCCACAAAAGCCCAGAAAAGGTACTACCTGGGAACACGTCACAACAAAAATACTGCCTTGATAATGTACAGATCCAGTACCTTGGTATCAGCAGCTTCCCTCTTACACTGTGAATGTGTTTTGACATTTATTTCTTAGACACCTACCTCCATCACAGCCCAAGCCAGCACCCCAAACACTTTCCTGCTTATTCTCATGCCTGGGTAAAAAGGTACTTTCCAAACGCCATAAAGCTATTCCCTATTCACCTCCATCACCTCCTGGCTGTGATCTCTTTCCTGGTGCTCCTCCCAGCTGGCTGTATTTCTCTGTTGTTTCTTGTGCATTTTAAGCTCCCTGGCACAACCATCTTTTTGTTCTCTGTCCAGACAGTTCCCAGCACTGCAAGGTACCAAATCACGAGGAAAGTGCTTGACATTACCATATGTCAAATTAGGGGCATTTGGAAACCCAAATTACCAATGCAATACAAACCAATCTAATGCAAAATAAATTTTGAAGCATTTCTTACTCTTCTGCCATATCCTGTTTTCTCTTCCCACCTGTTTCATCATTGCTTTCAGTTCAAGGAAGAGTAAAGTTCCTTGCACACTTATTCTCCCTCTCTGGAGAACTCTCCTAACATATCAAAGGAAAATATTTCAACACTTCTAGATTTCACTCTTGGAGCTTTCCCCATCTCCAAGTGACTACCTTGTTCCCCGTGGAGGTAACCTGCAACATAACAGGACCACAACAGACACCTGAAAAGCACCAAACTTTGGAAACTGGAAACAAGCACACATAAAAGTACATCTACATAAACACACGGACTTTTGGACACAGGTTAGGTGTATTCCAGGATGGCCACAAGAAACTTGGATCAGAGCTAGTATGATTCTTCTACATGGGTTACAGGAGTTTCTGGCAGTGCTGAGGTCTATATACAACCACCTCCCAACATGGAAGGCAGGGATCACACTCCCGTCCCCTACAAGCTGTCACCTGCTCCTGCCCAGATGTCATCACAAGTTATGTATGTTAGAGCAAGACAAGGCCTTGTGCTGCCAGGGCATTAGCCTAAACATCACACTAGTACCTCTTACACTTATCTAACGCATCTTCTGAAAACACTTTAGGAGTATCGGGGGGACTCTCAATGCAAGGAAGGGAAAAGAAAACAAAACAAAGCCTGTGCTATTTCTATCAAGATAACTATCCTGATAAAAACCCAGAGATGCAGAACACTGTTACAAAGATCCTTGATAGAAAAGAAGCTCCAAATGGCATGGGGACCAGTTCTCTTAATGACACTACACAGATGTAAAGTAGCAGGGATGTGTCCACGTGGCCTTCATCCACAGAAAAAACAGCACACTAATTCTCCATCAGGAGCACATTGCCAGTCCTGCATCTTTTGGAAACAGAGACCTCCTGTCTCCAACATTAACATGGCAGCTTCTTCTGCTGAAAATAAAACAGAAAACAGACAGGATGTGGCAAAAGTGAAAACAAAAAACTTCATTTTTGGCTTGCATAAAGGCATGGAAAATGTTACCACTGAGGAGGAGCTATTTCTACATAAACAAACATAAATAAGAAAACCTCACTTCTGATGCAACAAAAGTGGTGTAAGAGGAGGGAAGAAAGGTTCAGGCATGGTCCTTTAGTTCCATGGGGTACATCTGAATATTCCAACACAATCTAGTAAAGGAGGAAGTGTTTGCCTGCTCTGATCAAGACCTACCCCAGTGCCAAAAGGAAAAGAACCCCAAACAGCAGGACTCGGAAGCTGTTCTCTCCCATCTGCAAAAACAATCTGTGGTTTTAAAATAGATCATCTCATCCGAGGCTGAAAGTATTTAATTTCTAAACTGCTGAGTGAGCAAAGAATGATACACAAAGCTATCCCATGAAAGAGTCTTAACAGCTAAGCCTCCTTCTGCTGTACAAGACACGAAAAAAAAACACACACACACAACCTGGCTTCAAGGTTCTCCTGGAGAGCTACAGGACAAGACAATGTTCTTCCTTAAAACCTACTCCACAGTCATGTTGATTTAAATATCCACCATACTGAACTTGGTTAAAATACCACAAAAACATTTCCCATTCCCTTCAAATTCTTATTTTTCAAGAGTTTCTCCATTAAATTATCTTTATTCTGGATCCAAAAAGGCCAATACAGAAGTGCCATGCAGTAGATAAATCAGAGCCTGAACTTTCTGCATTTATTAGGACACAAACAAGAGCTCTATATTAGTGAAAGCAGAAGCTTAATGTTTTTGACAATATGTCCTAGACTTACAAGGAATACAAAAACACAGGACAAAATGGTTCAATGTTTATTTTAGATCATTTTAATTATAACAATGCCTAGAATTGCCAACTGGGACCACCTCTTTCTATTGTGCTAGATATATATGATAAATAATTAATCCAAGGTGTTTTCAACACCCAAAGGGATGGCATCACCAGCTGAAATGGCAAAAGAGAGGAAAAGGAGCAGGTAGATAGGACAAAATAGCACTACACTACACAGTAAGAGAGTCATTGGCACAGCTGAAATCAGTGATAGCAATCCAAGAAAAATCAAATGCTTTCACATTTATTACTTCTTAAATTGCTTTTGCTCTCTGGGGTAGCATCTAGTTTACTTAGCTATGAGACATGAAAAGGTCCCAACAGAGCATTTTTAAGCTCTCCAGTAGCACTTCCAAAACAATCAGAGTTAAGAATGTGACCTGGCATGCAATTTTAACTAGTACAACTCATCTACATTTTACTGCTCATGCTGGGCAAAGCTTTCTTAGCTTCAAGTCGGTCCAAGTCAGCCCACAATGCACACCTGACACACAGGCACACATGGGTAACTGAACACACACGAGCAATGCTGTGCTCAGTCACAAGACAGGCACTCACCAGGCTCACAAACACACACACTGCTTGCATCTGCAGCTGCTGCACCCCATGGCAGCTTAACGTGCTTGCCTGTCTGCACAACAAGTGCAGATCCAAATGCAGTTCTCCTCAGTGTTATTTCTTCAGAGGAGTGAGCAGTCTGAAGAGATGCCCCAGTCACAATTTCACAGCTGTTGGTACAGTCAGGGAAACAAGGGAAATTGTCACTGGGACAGAGGACCAGTAGGGTCAGCAAGAGTGGAGCAGGGAGCCATCAGCTCAGAAGCAGAAGGTAGAGGAGTCAGGCACCTAAGGCAGACCAAACCACATGGCAAGGTACACACCCACTAAGCCATACTCAAGAGATGATCCCATGCCTACATACACATAAGACTGCACTGTACACACAAACAATTTAACCTTCAACAAGGTCACATTCCTGTGTTTCTCATTTTAGGGAAACTAAAATCTGAGAATACCACAAAAATCTTCTGCACATGCAGCTCACACAGCCCCCACCCATTTTGCTAGCCTATAGTCATCCTAAGAGAAGCTTCCCCTCCCCATGCGCCCATTAAAAACCTCACAATCAACAACAAAACCCTTTTACCCTGAGCCATGCACTCTTCTTTCCAGAGTTTTTTTCTGCTCTATTAATTTCTGTTGTCTCACTGTATTTGCACAGCCCTCCTCCCCCCATCCTCCTCCTCCTATTTTTTTTTTTTTTGTGGACTGACCCACATTGTGATAGGTCAATATCTAACATCTAGTCCCTTTTTTGGAAGGAGACAGGAAAAAGAGAGAAAGGGGGAGGGAGAGGAGGAGAAGGGATGTTCCCCAACCTTTTCTGCTTTGAGAACAGGATCAAATACACTTGGGCCACGCACTGCATCCCTTTCCCATACTCCCAAAAGCCCAACTCCACACAAACCAGGAAAGCCCTCTGCTCCCAGGGGAGAAACACAGAAAGAGTGTGAAGATATTCTGCAACTGGCAGAGGGGCAAGAGGCAAGAAGAAAAAAGGATGTGTTGTAAACAATTGTGTCCCACATGACAGAGGATGTTTGCATTTCATTTTCCAAACTCTCAAGAACAAAGTAAAATCAGAACTTATTCCACCAACACTTGCATTCATTGTTTCCCACCTCTGAGTGCCAAGACAGGGTAGACAACAGTTTTAAAATTACCACAGGATATATGGTTCTTTTAAGAAGAACCAGAACTGAAACTCTACAGCAGCCTGGAAAAGTATTGAACTTGTGGCAGTCACACACAAAGGAAGTTTTTCTAATACATTAGAGTATACTTCTCCATCCAGAAGATGACATATAGAATCTATCAGATCAGATCCACACTTCAATTTAGCAAATAAATGAGCTGAAAGAACCCAAACATCTTATCAGAGGTCTAGGCAACTATGTGGTGGTGCATATGAGGGCAATGGCACATCTGACTTCCCCAGCAATCATTCTCTGGTGCAGACATGTAGCAGTGATGAACGCTGCAGGAGTAAAATCAGTGATTCTCAACAAAGCACATAAGGCCACACTCACTATAAAGCCATTTTGTTAATAAAAATACTACAGAGGCAAAGTTCTGAAAGCTGAATTAGGACCTTTGTATTCCTGGACTCATGGGAGTCTCTTTATACCAAAAGCCATCAGCAGCAATGCATCTTCTCTACAGAGAAAAAAATCATGCCAAGCATCAACCTGAGAGGGTGCATGCTTAAAAAAAGGACAAAGCTTCAACTCAATGTTTCCAGACGCTCTGACATTAAATTATGTAGTTGCATGAAGTTACTTGAAAGGGAATTTGTATGAATGACTTTTGGCTTCAGACTCCTGTAAAAGCAGTGCCATCACAAAGTCATTGGGAAGGGGGAAATGAAGTCTGTAAGTCAGAAGAGTTTGGAGGAGAGAAGTCACTCCCAGCTGACAGGACAAATAGCTGCAAATAGCTTCACCCACCACTAACCATTTTTTCATAGCAAAAAGAGCAAGGAAGAGACAAGATATCATGAGCCAGGAAGAGAAATTCACTCACTTCTAACCTGCCTCTTGAAGTGACTGACTTGTCCACTTGTTCATGTCAAGTAACCTGGACAGAGACACAGGTACATTACTGCTGCTGAGGCTGTATCTGTGTTGGAGACAACCAGGCAGCTGCAGGCTCCCAAGCAATCAGCTCAGCAGCCTCCAACAGCATCCATGTCATGTTCTGCAGCCTGAGGAGGGAACACTGGGTCCACAAGGTCAGCTTTTAAGGTATTATTTCATCTCATCTCCTTCTTGAAGCCTTACTGCTGCACTGTAACATGTTGCAGTCATTTTCTTTGCTGAATCAGAGGCATTTTTTTTTACTAGCAAGTTGTTCGGGGGCCACATGTACAAAATACCCAGGCAGAGATGGACGCTTTGGGGCTAGACACAAAAAATGTGAGGCCATGACACCAACTCTCTATGCTCTTGGTCACTCTTCATTACACAACATCCTCAAATAGCTGATCCTTTCAGTATCAGCAGACTCCCAGGCACTGTGACTGTAAGATAATAATAGCAACATTCCCATCCTTTCAATATAGAGACAGACTTGAGGGTGGGGAGACAAATATCCAGGTAGTGTATGGGTTAATACTGCAGGTAGAATGTCAATTATTTCCCTTTTCAGGTTCCTGTGAATTATTCCCCTCAGGGGCTATAAAGACCTGGTGAAAACCAGATACAGCACAGTTCCTGAGCAGCTTGCCTATACACTGTATGTTCCCTGGACACAGCTTGCTCTGTTGCCTTCCCAGACATGTTACTTACACCATCAGAAACAAAAACCCCATGGAGGTTGACCTGATTTTTAAAGAGAACCTAGCTATGAGCAAGTACTCCAGCCCCTGCCTCTTCTTAGAAGAGAGACTCTGAGGTGAGACTCCTGGAGGGTGGTTGCAAACTCACAGCTTTATCTGGCAGAATTTCACTTCCAAAACTTTCCTGGGGAATTGATGCTCTGAAAACAAGTCCAGTTGCTCTCCCCCAAAAGTAGTCCATGCAGGGAAAAAAAAAAAAAAAAGTTGTCCATGCACAGAAAAAAACCACCAAACCCCAGAAAAAAAAAATACCCCAAATCCCTTACTATAAGGGTGTTTTCAGTTCAAGGACTGTAATATTTTACAGTTGTTTTACCTAAGTGTTTCAATCCATCTTATCACAGTGTCAAACTGCTTTCAGAGTCCTAAGCACGCTGGCAGGGTGTGATGTCTTGACAGGAAACCACTCTTCCACCACAAGAAAGCAAACCCCAGTGAGTCTGGGAAGAAGCGAGAACAGCACACAACAGACACAGCGCTCCAAGCAAACAGCTAGGCAAGCCAGCACACAAAACTCCAACCCAGTGCTATTCTCTACAGCACCTCAAATTTCCAGAACCTTGACAAGCACAATCAATCACAAACTCTAAAGCAGAGAAGAGCTTCTGCCCCCAGCCAGGGCCGCTCAATAACACCCAGCTGCTTTGTTACACGGGCAGCCAGCAGCAGGCATGTACTAGAAAACTTGACTGTACAAAGGCTAAATGCAATTTCTCTCTGAGGCTGTGCTGTCCTCTTCATATTGTAGACAGATCAACCTGTACATTCACTGCTGCTTTCCTTGGTTTCCTCAGTTTTAGGCTGGAAACACTGAGAAAACGAGTCATAGCAATGGCACTTCAGAATCAGCAAGTCTGATGTGAAACTTCGTGCTTTACTTCAACCTTCATTCAATACAACACTGGGCTCTTGAAGCAGCTAGGACCAAACAACAAACATCTCCTGAGGAATTCACTGCTTCCACCAGACATTCCTGCAAGAGCTCAAAGATACCCTTAGAGCTGCTGGAAAATGAAACAGGCACTTCTGCTAGAAGGAGCAGTAACAACTTATCTCCCTCAATGTAAACATAAGCCAATCAAAAATGAAACCAAAACAGGAAGGGAGAAGGAATGAAGGATAAGTTCCCCATATGGAAATTAAAAGGTTGTCATCTTACACCAAAACATGATTATTAGATGCTTTAGTTAGTGCAGCAGTAGAACTGGGTAGAAAAAGGGCCTACCTTTTTTGAGGGGGAAGGAGGTGTTTTAAAAGCTATTTTGTGCTAGGGAAAAAACCCACCCACCCTTCTTTTATCCATGAGAAGAAAAGAATCCTAATCCCCAATTGCAAAAGCTCACCTCCCAGCCTGCTACCAGCTAACAGGCAAAGAAACTGACAGAGAACAAGGCAGATTTCTAGCTGGATTCTGTCAAATGGTTAGAGACCAGACAGCTCAGAATGCTTTTGCCAGACCAGCTAGTCACACTGAACTTCACTTTCTGACCAGTTTATCTAAGAACCTTCCCCTTTGGACTGCCACATGTCTTAAGGAGACAGACAAACTGAAGTCCAAAAGGTGCCCAGTGGCTGGGAGTGGCTGGCTCATCCCCTTGCTCCACCCGTTCAGCACTCTGAACTGACTGCAGAGAGCTGAGTGAATCACAAAGCAAAACACCTGCCCGCACCACTGAGCTGGTCAGAAACGCTGACTTCACTGGTAAAGCTTCCCAGCCATTCTGCAGCAAGACCAAATCATTCCTACTCCAGATGCAGAGGCACCCACCTGCTGCTTCCATGCCACCTAAGGTTTACAGCACAACTGTAATAATGACAGTATTAAGGACCTAAAAACCTAAAGGACCAGAGCAGCTTTGAAACCAATTTTCTTGGGAACAATGGTGAAAAGAAAGCCTGAAGTAGGCCTTTCTGGCCTACTACCATAAGAAAAGCTCTCCCAAAACCTCTATTGTTTAGTACTTAGCCAACATCCTAAAAAGCATGAGAGTTTATTTTTTTTGACAAACAGTATCACACAAATACAAACCTTTAGTATTAGAAACCTGAATAACACGAACATTTCTAGAGAAATCTGTGTTCCCTTTTAGGGAGGCTGCTAAGCTCTTAGACCAAAGGGTAACTTCCAGCAACACAAGTTCAAAGGCACAGTTAACTGCTGTATTAAAAAAGCCAAGTCTTTGTTAGTGCAATGTATACTCTATTACGTTTTCATTGATTGTTTTCTTTTTTTTTGCAGGATAGGAAAGCCATTTCTATTCACCCTATTAGCCTTTGCTCTATTATTGATCAATGTCTTCTATTTTTATCTTTAACAGAGGTAAACAGTCTTCTCTCTGGGGAAATCTGTCTTGCTTGATGTCTTCAATAATTACTCCTGTTCAAGCTCCTTACATGTCAAGAACAATTTCAAACTTTCTGTAAGCAGAACCCGTCTTCACTATTTCCTCTAGATTTCCCACTCCTCCTCCTCCACCCACTCTTGACAGCTTCAGAGTGTTCCAGGCAGCTTTCAGAGAGCTGTCCCTGAAATCACTCTAGTCCCTTTCCACAATTCATCAGAACTCAGTCACGCACACGTTCTTCCAAAGCCGTCCTTCCACTACAAGCTGCAGCTGCCGAGGCTGACTTTAGCCCTTACAAAGCAATTTCGAGTCACCATGAGCATCCGAACAAGACCCACCACAACTCACCTACAGTGCAAGAGAACGCAGGCACAGTATCAGCCTCCTCACACACCTACCACACCAGCACATGCACGAGGCGTCTGTCAGTCCATCCAGCGCGAACCAAAGGAAACCCAGCAAACACAAACCTGGTGCCCACCATGTTACTACAGCCTACTGAGCTGCCAGCCCACCCCGGACAGACACACCCGTGCAGACAGTGACACCCACCCAAGGGCACCAAGGAGCGTGACAGCGCTGGGAACGAGGGGGCTGTGCTGGGGCGTGTGCGTGCACAGGGAGAGCGGAACAGGTGCAGCAAGGACAGGTTGCGGGGAAGGAGGGAGAGTAAGGAATGGGGTGGGCTGCCCGGGGGTGGGGGCTGCCCTGGGAGCTGCGGGTAGACGCGGGGGTGGGCGGTGTGTGCGCTGGTACGGAGGCCATGCGGGAGGAATGTGCGCGGAGGGGAATGGCGGGGGCAGCCCTGAGGAGAAGGGGGCGCACACCGTGGAAGGGGCGGAGGGTTGAGTGGGGACGGGAGGAGTAGCGCGGGTTACGCCGGGGAACGGGAGGAGCAATGCGGGGGAGCGGGAACAGCGACCACCACGGGCCGAGGCGAGGCGCAAGGCGAGTCCGTGGGCGCCTCAACGAGCCACCCCCGCGCCAGCGCGGCCCCTCCGGCCCGGCCCGCGCTCCCGCAGCCGCCCCCGCCACGTCTTACCGTGCAGCGGGCGGGCGGGCGCGGCCCAGCCCGGTGGGGCGAGGAGGGGTCGGGTCGGGCCCTGCCCGCTGCCCCGCGGGCGGCGCCGGCACCGGCGCGGGGGCGCGGAGGCCTCAGGAGCCCATGGCGACGCCGGGCCCGGCCCGGCCCTCCCTCGGCGCCTGCGCACGGCACCGCGCGCGCCGCCCACTGCCCGCGAAGGAGGGGAAACAGGATGACGTCACCGCTCCTCTCTTAAAGGGGCAGCGCCGCTGGGCGCGGGTGACGCGGCGGCTTTGCGCAGCGGCGGGCGGAGCCGTGCGCGACCCGGGGCCGGGCACACGGGCGGCCGGGCCGGCCGTCCAGCGGCTCTTGCCGGACGGCTAAAGGCAGTACTGGCCTCAGGAAGAGCCTCCCCAAGCAGATTTCCCCCGAACCCCGAGTGAAACAAACACGCGGAGAGGTGTTGGATAGCAAAGCCATGCCTCTCCTCAAGTCTGAACAAGGCACTCTGAGTCTCAAAAAAAAAAAACAAAAAAAAAAAAAAAAACAAACCAAAACCACAAAGCCGAAGGAAGAAAGAAAGCAAACGCACCACACCCTAAAACGTTTAATACGCCTGTGCTAGCAAAAGGAGGCGGCATCCTACCCGCGATAGGGCTGATGATTTTGATGATTTTCTCCTTTTCTCCTGCTGCATTACAAGTCCCCTTGCCCATCTTGAAACAGATACGGAGCTCCTACCACACATGGCCCGAAATGGCAGCGGATTCCCGTTCTGTCCCAGGGCAGAGCTCCTGCCCCAAACACCCCCACAGCTCCTGGACCCTGCCAGATCACGGCTCTGCTGCCTCCCCCACGCTGCAGGGAGGGCAGTGCTGTCCTATACACAAGAAACGTCTGCTTCCCCACAGAAAACAGCGTGAGAGTTTATTTTACAACTGAAAAAGTCCAGTTGCATTCTGATCCAGCAAAAACATACTTAAAATGGAGGCAGGGCAAATGCAGGATAGAGGTAACAGCAGAAAACCCCATACCCCTGGAACTACTTTCCTCTTCCCATCCCTCCTACACTCATCCCTGGAGCTGGAAGACCCATGCAGCAGAGAAACAAAGGAACAACTCTTCCTGGCCAGCCGGCAAAGAACAGGCTTGAAAAGAATTTGCGAAGTCACCAAGATCCATCATTTATTGCCAGCAGGTGTTTCTGAAAATAAGTTTCAAGGGTTTGACAGAGCCTGGAAGAAACAGGCCTCTCATCAGGATAATGCAGGGATGTGTAACTACAGGAGCAACAATTTAGAAATAAATTAGTATTAAAATTTAGTATTTTACTGCCAGACTGGTTAGACAAGGAGAGGAGAAACCCAAACAAACCACACCAGC